TGCATTTTGTGAAAAAAAAAAGCCAGGGATGCATACAAATTAGTGCGCCATTGGACCTATTTGATAATTTCTGCATAAGCGAGGCTCACGTTGCCTAGGTATTATGTGGGTCTCACTTTTTTGTGATTTTTTTCTTTCTATAAAGGTGAAACTCTCCGTATTTTGTTTGAATTTGATGGGGATGTTTTCAGATTTGTCACCTTTCTTTGTCACTTGAGCCCATTTTTGCGATATTCCCTTTTCTTAAAATGTAAAATGGACACTCTCCGTATTCTCTTTGGTCAAACAAAATTTGATGTTAACTGTAATTTCAATCTATGAACGAACAAGTTTCCCATCCAATTGAGAAAATAGTCGGCACATGGAAAGCTCCAGATTCCAGCATGTATAGATGGTCATTTTTTTGTGTTAGTTGTAATTTCAATCTATGAACGAACAATTTTCCCAAATTTTTTGATGGACCAAATTTAGAAGGAAAATTCTTTTCTACTAAAATTTTCATACAAATTCACTTAATTAGAATGATGTGGTAGTAAATTTTTTTGAAATTTAGAATCATCTTGGTGGGTTTTTTTTTTTTTTTTTTAATGATAATTTGAGAATTCAACTATATTGTTCTGTACGTATTTTTTTATTTGTATATCATTACTCAATTTAAAAATGAAGTTGTAAGGATTGGAGTTAATTGTTAGGGACTTTGAAAGGAGATAACTGCTTTGGTGTCTAAAAGATTTTGGAATGTAGTGGAGATAGATCATGTGGAGGAACTGAATTCTTGGAATCAGTGGTGAACATCAATCAAATTGGGATTACACTACATAATAAGAAATATACATGTTACTTTAAGCCTAAACAGAGCCAGACTAGCATCAACCTAATTTAGTCATTCAAAATTTAGCAGAAAAGAATTATTAAATCCAAGTCCACCCGCTTAATATATATTAACTATTATCGTCAACCCACTAATTTAGTCACACTTTGAATAGATATTTATATTTGAGCCTAAAAAAATTATTATGTTTATTCTTTTATTTCTAAACAAATAGAGTTATACATCAGAGAAAAAGAGATTAAACACAGAATAATTTATTGTATTAATAATTGTTTGGTCTTGAAATATTTGGTTTTTGTTAGGTTTTGCATTTATTAGAGGAAGAGGAGTCATTCGTTTGCTATGAACTTGAGGACACAATGTTGGACATTCAACTGATGTTTTTGAAGGGAATCCTGATGAAGTGGTTGATAATTACAGTGGTAGAAGAGAAAGGAGCAACAGAGAACCAGGTGTAAGAGAGTAATACATCAACAAGTGAACATGAAATTAAGAATGCTTAGACCAGGATGAATCTTTTAGGTGTTGCAATAGACAATGAAGTCATGGAAATAAGGGATTCTTCCAACAGCTTATTTTAGGGTTTTGTTTACGGGTCATTTGTTTGCAGGTCATTTTTTCTCTCTATCTAATTTTTTGGCTTGCTAATCAAACAGCTTCTGTGAACTAGTTGTTGGCCTAGGTGTCTCAACCCGCTACGGTGCCTCTGTCCTCCACCGTCGAGAATATGATGAGTTAGCCACCATGTCTTCCCAAAGCAAACGTAGAGAATCCCTAATTTGATGAAACTGTAAATCTTCAATTTTTTTTCCAACACTGTTGGCAACAGATGACGTCTATGGTCTCCAAGTACTGATATAGTTAAAATTTGAAGTATATTTCCACTATATTTTGCGAAAAAGGGATTGTAATCTTTTCAATTTAGTACAGATATGCAGGGATAAGGATGCTAAACCTCAAAAATGGGAATTTGTAGCACCATTGAAAGGGTTAGTGAATAGAATCTTCACAGAATTGATTTGTTTCAAAGGGCCCTGCTAGGATTCGTTCTCAGTTATTAAAATAAAGTAAAAAATAAAAAATAAAAAAAAGAAGAAAAAGAAGAAGAAAAGTTTAGATAGTTCTGCACAATATTAGACACCTTTATTGGATGTAGTCTAAGTATTGTAACATGCTTTTTGTGATTATGCACTGAAGTTACATGAAAGAGACCATATATTACATTTAGCTACTAGCCTACTACAATTTGATGTAGAATGAATATTTTACTATATTATTAGTATTTTCTAACTTTCAGAGCATTTATATTGTAGAATGAATATTTTACTATATTTTTCATTCAAATTTTAATTTATTGTTTTTTTGTTTTGTTTTTTTTAATTGTTGGGTTTTGATTGTTGTGAAATAGTAAATCTACAATTTTTTTTGTTCCATATAATTTATTATTTTTGTTTTTTTTTAATTGTTGGGTTTTTTTACAGTTTATTTATTATTATAATTTTTTTCATGATTTTGCTGTTCAAATTTGGTACCACTGTTCAATTTCATGATTTTGTTATTTTACTATGAAGTTGAGGGCTTAGTTGAAGTGCTCTGTTTCTATAAATTTTCAGAATTTGGAGTTTATTCGGTGTATTTAGTTTCATGTCTTCATTTAGGAAATCGTCAGGTTTGGTATCAAGATCACTGACATTTGTATGTGTATGAATTTTTTTGTTCATGTCTTTGTTCAATTTCATGATTTTGCTGTGAAATTTGGCTCTTTTTTCCCAGATTTCTTTATTCCAGCCACAATCACATCATCGGTGTACCGCTGTTCAAAGGTAATTTCATAATCGTCGAGTTTCATGATTTTGCTATTCGAATTTGGTACCGCTATTCAATTTCATGATTTTGCTGTTTTGCTACTTTGGGGTTGGATTGTTTTACTATGAAGTTGAGGGCTTAGTTGAAATGCTCTGTTTCTATAAATTTTATGAATTTGGATTCTAAATTTTGAGTTTATTTGGTGTATTGAGTTTCATGTCTTCATTTAGGAAACTATCGAGTTTGGTATCAAGATCGCTGACATTTCTTCATGTCTTTGTTCAATTTCATGATTTTGCTGTGAAATTTGGCTCTCCTTTCCTAGATTTCTTTGTTCTAGCCACAACCACATCATCGTTGTACCGCTGTTCAAAGGTAATTTGATTTCTCTTTTTCTCCCTTTGAGTAATTGAGTAATTTAGTTCGCATGTTCAAGTTTGGTATCAAGTTCGCTGATTTTCTTTGTTCAATTTCATAATTTTGCTGTGAAATTTGGCTCTCTTTTCCTAGATTTCTTTGTTCCAGCCACAACCACATCATCGCTGTACCACTGTTCAAAGGTAATTTGATTTCTCTTTTTCTCCCTTTGAGTAATTGAGTAATTTAGTTCGCATGTTCAAGTTTGGTATCAAGTTCGCTGATTTTCTTTGTTCAATTTCATAATTTTGCAGTTTGAAGTGTTGGTATAGGGTTTGCTGACTTCTTTCAGGTATAATTTTTTGTATGTGTATGATTTTTTGAGGGCTTAGTTGAAGTGCTGGTAAAGTTGGTGTTTTCTGAATTTAGTTGAAGTGCTTGGTTGGATTTTCTATAAATTGGTGTATTGAGTTCAATGTCTTCGTTTAAGAATTTTTTTTCTTCCTGTGAATTCACTCCCTACTCTTTGAAAAGAAAAAAAAAACTAATTTTTTGGTGGGACCCATGCGCCAAAATTGGAGAGTCTAAGTGGTAATGCGTTTTATGTCGCGTTGTGATTCACGTAATATATTTGGTTGCTCAAAACTATTATCGGGTGAATGGGAAATTGAAGCCAAAGTGAGCTCCATAGAAATGGTATATTATTGAAGTTTCCTTAAAGGTTTGAATTAGAGGTTTGTCCAACATTGGTTTGGTGGGCAAACTGTTGTGGATTTATAAGGCATGGGTTTGCAACTTGGGGAGGGCCCCAAGGTGTACCCAAGTTTTGTGGAAGAGTGAGGTTATAGGCAAAGTGGGTTAGACCCATTGGACCCAAAATAAAAACACACGTACACGCCGCCATCTGGTGGGTCAGGCGGGCTGGTTGGGCTGGGCTTGGGCGCGCGTACGTGGTGTGAGATTGGGTTGGGCTTGTCCAGTCCAATGCTTATCTTTTTGGGCAAAAAACATTTTGGATTTTTATTTTTCTAAAATTAAATTCTTAACTTTTTTGAATTAAATTTTGAAAATAATTCCAAAATGGTGTCCAGATTATTTCTACACCCAAACAGGTCCATATTTGTCCAATATAAACCGAACAGATTCAGTGATTCGGTTATCTGTTCAAAATTCAAACAGTGCTGAATAGCTATTGTACCTATTCAAACAGATTTGCTGCTTGTTGGATTCAAACTGAACAGCCACCTTTGCACCTATAAATAGACAAGTCCACCAAGAGAGACGAAAAAAAAAAAAAAAGAAAAATGCTTGGGAGCACTAATTAGTGCTCCCACTAATTAGGTGGCAGTGGGTCCCGCCAGTAGTGATGTGATATTTTGGTCTTGGAGTTGTATTTTTTTTTTTTTTTTTATTTTTTTAATGCATTAGTGCTATTAGTGGTAGTGTTTTTAGTGGGATGAATCATTGTTGAAAAAAAAATTTGGACTGTTTTGTTGCGTATATGCAGATTAAGCGGAAATTTTTCGGGTGCAATGCACACTCCTTATGCACGAGGGAGGGAGGGAGAGAGAGAGAGATTGGAGAGATGAGAGAGAATGAGAGGTGGAAGATGAAGAGAGAATGAGTGGTAGACAAAAGACACTAAAGAGAGACGAAAAAAAAAAAAGAAGGGTGAGAACCGTGATCAGACCATTTCTTTGATTTCTCAACTTCTGATTTTTGTGATGCGTTTATTGTGTGTATTTATGTTTTTATTGTAATTTGTGATAAGTTTTACGCGGTGATTTGTTAGAGGATTTAGTAAAAAAATGTAAAATTAAATAAATTATATATATATATATATATTTTATTCATATTTTATTTATCTTTTTTAAAAATAAAAAATTCTCAAATTTTCTAGCTAACACAGCGATAAAGAGAGAAAAGAAATTAGATTAAAAGAAAACTAAAAAAATGTAGAGACTGGATTTTATTTTCTAATTTCATAAATAAAATAAAAAATTTACAAATTTATTGTATTAAAAAATATTGAGTACTATTAAGGTTATCAAATTTTTAATAAAAAAATATTAAGTATAGAATCTAACATTTAATTATTTATTTAATAAAAAATTTGAGACTTAGGTCTAGTTTGGCATAATTTAAAAAAGTCAAAAAGTCATTATTTTATTTAAGTTATATTATCTCATTTAAATTAGATCATTTTTTTATCACATCACTTCAAACTTAATTTATATTTCACATTTTTTTTTCCGTGAAAAATGAAAAAATGATAATCCCAGACAGCTTATAATATTTTTCAAAAATGTTAAGGGATTAGGAGAGAGAGAGGCATTCTCTCTCTGGAAGTTGGAGAGAGAGAGAGAGAGAGAGGAGTGCAGGGGATAGTGACAGAAAAGATGGAAAATAATGATGAAACTAGACAAAATGAGTCAATTGGAAAATTGATGGAAAACCCATGTGGGTTCTGTCGGCACAACATCACATAAAAAAAATATTTTATTTTATATATATACATATACTTCACAAATAAATGGTTTAAAAAAAAAGCCTCTAATAAAAAAAAAAAAAAACAAAAAAACTCCTAAATCACCCAGCATCCCACCCAATGCTGAGATGATTTGTTTTTATTTGCACTTCTCTCTCTCTCTTTCTCTTTCTCTCTCTCCCTCCCTCTCCGACTTCTCAGGTGTTCTCTCTCCTTAGATCTCTCTCTCTCTCTTCCTCTCCCACCCCTTCCTTTCCACTGTCGCTCCGCTTCTATCATTGCACCGCCTCCGAACTCCACTGACAGCAACTCTTCATCTTTTCTCCCTCCCAGATCTCAGATCTTCTCTCTCCTCCGATCTCCACCGACAGCAACTCCTTCTGCCTCTCGAACTCGGCTTGCAAAAGGACGGTTTTGAAAGTGACACGAGAGGACCTAGCAAAAGAAAGGGAAAAAGAACACCAAAGGCATCTTTATTCTTGCAGGAAAGTAGTCTTTAGTTATATTTACAGCTTTTCTATATATCTATGTGTAAGAAGCTCTTCGATTGAGGTGTACCACATTCAGAGAAGCTTCTTCTGGTATATATATATGAACCAACTTCAATGAAAATTTACAAATTTTGAGATATAAATTCTTCTCTCTCTTATCTCTCTCATTCATTGTTGGAGGTCCTGTATGGGCAGCAATTTTACGCCAAGCAGATTCTTAGTTTGAAATTGAAAAGTGCATTTTGTGAAAAAAAAAAGCCAGGGATGCATACAAATTAGTGCACCACTGGACCTATTTGATAAAACTCTCCGTATTTTGTTTGAATTTGATGGGGATGTTTTCAGATTTGTCACCTTTCTTTGTCACTTGAACCCATTTTTGCGATATTCTCTTTTCTTAAAATGTAAAATGGACACTCTCCGTATTCTCTTTGGTCAAACAAAGTTTGATGTTAACTGTAATTTCAATCTATGAACGAACAATTTTCCCAAATTTTTTGATGGACCAAATTTAGAAGGAAAATTCTTTTCTACTAAAATTTTCATACAAATTCACTTAATTAGAATGATGTGGCAGTAATTTTTTTTGAAATTTAGAATCATCTTGGTGGGTTTTTTTTTTTATTTTTTAAATGATAATTTGAGAATTCAACTATATCGTTATGTATGTATTTTTTTATTTGTATATCATTACTCAATTTAAAAATGAAGTTGTAAGGATTGGAGTTAATTGTTAGGGACTTTGAAAGGAGATAACTGCTTTGGTGTCTAAAAGATTTTGGAATGTAGTGGAGATAGATCATGCGGCGGAACTGAATTCTTGGAATCAGTGGTGAACATCGATTAGATTGGGATTACACTACATAATAAGAAATATACATGTTACTTTAAGCCTAAACAGAGCCAGACTAGCATCAACCTAATTTAGTCATCCAAAATTTAGCAGAAAAGAATTATTAAATCCAAGTCCACCCGCTTAATATATATTAACTATTATCGTCAACCCACTAATTTAGTCACACTTTGAATAGATATTTATATTTGAGCCTAAAAAAATTATTATGTTTATTCTTTTATTTTCTAAACAAATAGAGTCATACATTAGAGAAAAAGAGATTAAACACAGAATAATTTATTGTATTAATAATTGTTTGGTCTTGAAATATTTGGTTTTTGTTAGGTTTTGCATTTATTAGAGGAAGAGGAGTCGTTCGTTTGCTATGAACTTGAGGACACAATGTTGGACATTCAACTGATGTTTTTGAAGGGAATCCTGATGAAGTGGTTGATAATTACAGTGGTAGAAGAGATGGGAGCAACAGAGAACCAGGTGTGAGAGAGTAATACATCAACAAGTGAACATGAAATTAAGGATGCTTAGACCAGGATGAATCTTTTAGGTGTTGCAATAGACAATGAAGTCATGGAAATAAAGGATTCTTCCAACAGCTTATTTTAGGGTTTTGTTTATGGGTCATTTGTTTACGGGTCATTTTTTCTCTCTATCTAATTTTTTGGCTTGCTAATCAAACAGCTTCTGTGAACTGGTTGTTGGCCTAGGTGTCTCAACCCGCTACGGTGCCTCTGTCCTCCACCGTCGAGAATATGATGAGTTAGCCACCATGTCTTCCCAAAACAAACGTAGAGAATCCCTAATTTGATGAAACCGTAAATCTTCAATTTTTTTTCTAACACTGTTGGCAACAGATGATGTCTATGGTCTCCAAGTATTGATATAGTTAAAATTTGAAGTATATTTCCACTATATTTTGCGAAAAAGGAATTGTAATCTTTTCAATTTATTGCAGATATGCAGGGATAAGGATGCTAAACCTCAGAAATGGGAATTTGTAGCACCATTGAAAGAGTTAGTGAGTAGAACCTTCACAGAATTGATTTGTTTCAAGGGCCCTGCTAGGATTCGTTCTCAGTTATTAAAATAAAATAAAAAATAAAAAGAAGAAGAAGAAGAAGAAGAAGAAGAAGAAGAAGAAGAAAAGTTTACATAGTTCTGGAGAATATTAGACACCTTTATTGGATGTAGTCTAAGTATTGTAACATGCTTTTTGTGATTATGCACTGAAGTTATATGAAAGAGACCATATATTACATTTAGCTACTAGCCTACTACAATTTGATGTAAAATGAATATTTTACTATATTATTAGTATTTTCTAACTTTCAGAGCATTTATATTGTAGAATGAATATTTTACTATATTTTTCGTTCAAATTTTAATTTATTGTTTTTTTGTTTTGTTTTTTTTAATTGTTGGGTTTTGATTGTTGTGAAATAGTAAATCTCCAATTTTTTTTATTCCATATAATTTATTATTTTTTTGTTTTTTTTTAATTGTTGGGTTTTTTTATAGTTTATTTGTTATTATAATTTTTTTCATGATTTTGCTGTTCAAATTTGGTACCGCTGTTCAATTTCATGATTTTGCTATTTTACTATGAAACTGAGGGCTTAGTTGAAGTGCTCTGTTTCTATAAATTTTCAGAATTTGGAGTTTATTCAGTGTATTTAGTTTCATGTCTTCATTTAGGAAACTGTCAGGTTTGG